GCGTCAGAGCCCTGGGGTAAGGGCTGAGCTCAAGTTGGAGGTCAGAAGTCCAGCTGAGGGTGGGGAATTGGGGATGAGCTCTCAGAGGCTGAACATCTGAAGTCAGAGCTTCGATGGGGGACACGACAGAGTCAAGGAGTCAAGTTGGGTTATCACCTCCTTCCGCTGGGGCACACGGCGCCACCAGACATGGTCGCAGGAGGAGCAGGCAAACTGCCGATCCACGGCAGGGATAAGGTCTTCCTGGGCACGTTGGAACATGCGTAGGTTGGCTTTCGTCAGCGGCAGGAGGGAGGTTGCCACTGCCTGCGGAACGAGGGTGGTGAGCACGAGAGGGTGGTCAGCCCTCCTCCAACAACATAAACATATGTCAGTTCCATTCTCCCAACAGATGGGCGCCCTCGTGCCCCTAGGATGTACCCCTCTCCCCCCCATGGGGGTCCTCCCTGCTCCACCTCCCCCCTTCCCAGGTACCGGACCCACCTGGATGTCTTGGTCCTGCTTCATGTCCTCTGGTGGGTCCTGGGTGGAGATACCAGGGGCAGAGGCTGGGGATTCAGCTCAGGCCTCTTTCACCTCGTTTGCTGGGGGAGGGTCCCGGCCCCATATAAGAATGGCGTGTCCCTAACTCACAAGCAGCTGATGGAGCAGCAGTCACTAGCTGGGAGCCAGCTGCATGACCCCAGCTATCCTTACGCAGTTCTGAGAGGTGAGCATACTTGTTATCCTCATTGTTCAGATGGGGAAACCGAGATCCAGGGCCAGGAGAGAGCCTGCCTGGGATCACCCCGAGAGAGTGCAGTGACGCAGGCCTGGACCCCGTGCTCCCATCCTGCTCGCAAATGCCATACACTTGTTGGCATTGGGACAGGGGCCCCTCTGAGGCCACACTGCTTTAGGCTAAGAAGTGTTCCAGCGCTGGGCTCAGACAGAAGCAGGTCCCACCCCCCGGCTCCATTCCTTTCAGCTGGGTCTCTAATGAGGGGCATCTCAGAGCTCAGACCCTGACTCTGGGTGGCTGGGGTTCAAATCCCAGCTGCCACCTGCATGCTGCGTAATCCTGGCCAGTGACTTCTTCACTCTGTGTCTCCGTTTCCTCGTCCGTAAAACGACAATAAGTAACGACCTGTCTCATGGGGCCACTGTGGCAATGAAATGAGTCAACAGGTAACATTCCTGAAGCCCTGTTGCAAGGGAAGTGCTCAATCAATGCTACTCTTTACTGTTATTATTTAAAAATAGGTTTTTATTGATTTTAGAGAGAGGAAGGGAGAGGAAGAGAGAGAAACATTGATGTGTGAGAGGGAAACATCAATCGGTTGCCTCCCGTATGCACCCCGACTGGGAACGGAACCTGGGCATGTGCCCTGACGGGGAACTGAACTGGAGACTTTTTGGTGCACAGGGCAACGCTCGGTCAACTGAGCCACACCAGCCAGGGCTCTTTGCTATTATGTTTTATCATACTCTTTATAGGTATAAATGCAAGGGTATAATACATGTTTTATTATACTCTTTAACAGCTCTATGCTGGGCTTTTCAGGCAGGCAAAATCCACAGTGCATCAGCTACCAAAGCCACCACAGGGCAAAGTGGCCATGATGTTCCTGTGCCTCAAAGCCTTTCATTCATTCACTCACTCATTCATTCATTCATTCAACACATGAGCTCCTCTGCCCCTCTCTCCTGCTCATCCCAGCCTGTTTGCATTCCTTCGCTCAGCCATTCCCTCTTCCAGGACGACCCTTTCTGACCCCTCCATTCCCAGGGATCACTAGCCTCCAGCCTTGAAGAGCTGGCAACACCCCCTCCAGGAAGCTCTCCCTGACCTCTCGCCTCCTCTATGATGACATTCTTCCTGGCTCCCGTCACTGCCTAGTTTCATGTCTCTCTCCCCCATTTAATACCATCAGCATGTAATGAACATCTTCTGTTTGCAGGCTCCCTGCAACTGAGAAGTGAGTAAGTACATGTGGCTGGACCATGAGCTGTGACGTGGCAGTGCCCCGGGGGGCTCGCCATGGACGGGCCGGGTTCCCCCTGCTCTCCCTCCCCAGTTACCCTGTCCTTTGAGGAGCGTGAGGCAGTTTACCTGGGCATCCAGGTCGTGACTCAGTTCCTGCCCATCTTTCTGCTTTACTCCTGGTGGGGAGAGTAAGTGTAAGTGAAGGACCCTTCAAAGACCTTGTGGGAGTTTCAGGTCCCCAGACCCTCCCCAAGAGAGGACCTCAAGGCCTCTTCCTGCCTTCCTCAGACCATGCCCCCGACCCCCGCGGGGAACCCCCACCAGCCTGGGGACCCCAGCCTGCCGCCCGCTCACCGTACACGATGGAGCGGCCCACTCCGGTGTGGTCGCTGCCAAATTTCCTCATCAGAGTCCCCGCCTTCCTGGAGGAGACCTTCCCATGAAACTTCTCCCGGAGGCGCCGGACGCTCTTCTCCAGCTGGGGTGGGGACAGGGGGGCTCCGGTGGGGGGAGGAGAGCCACTGCCCTCCCCCCATTTCTAGACACCCTTCTCCCCGCCTGAACTTGACCCTTAGCTTTGGCCTCCGAACCTCCCATCTCCATCCTCCATGGCATTTCCTGGAAAAAGCCAAAGTCCCCACTGGACACTGGGGGAGGGTGCGGACTGGGGCAAGCTTCCCAGGCTCGGAGGGAGGCCGGCCAGGTAGCCCTGGCCTTTGACCCTTGACCCTGCGGCCCCTGCTTTTCGTCGAGGAGGCCTCCTGTCGCTCTGGGGGAGGGGGCCGCCACTCTCCGTCCTGCGGGGGGTGGGGAGTGGGGACGAGCGCCAGCGTGGGAAGGTCTGGGCTTCGGAGGGAGTCCCCAGGACGTGCGGACCCCCTCCGCGGCCCTGGTCCCTCCCGGGCATCGCTCGCGGGTCCCCGGCCCCGCCGCGGTCCTCTCCTACCTCCACACCTTCCTGAGACATGGTGGCCGCCGCGCAGGTGCCCGCGAGGGTCCGCACTGCGCGCTCCGCGCCCCCCGGCTGGGACGAGCCCCGCGGTCCAGCCGCGCGCAGAGCAGGGGAGGGGCTCCGGCAGGCCCCGCCCTTCCTTCCCTTTCGCTTTCGATGGGTGGGTGGTGGGTGGTGGGTGGCGGGGGGAGGATGAAGCGCTGGCCCCGCCCTGGCTCCGCCTCTGCTCTTGCGCCCCAAACCCCGGAGGCGGCTGGGGTCTGCACCCGGCGGCGGAGCGCGCAGACCTCGGGGTGGGGAGGCGGCGCGGCCGCTGCGGTCGGTCACATGTCCCCACGCTGCGCGGGGTCCGCGTCTTCACGTCCCTCGTGGGGGCGGGGCCGCATCCCCAGGCCGCGGCGGGTGTGCGCGCCCCCGCCCCCTCGAGCTCCTGGTCCCTCAGCTCCTCGCCCTCTCCCCTCCCCCCGAATCAGGCGCTAAGGAGGACCTGGACCCCTACGTCTTTCTTCAGTCTCTGGCCAGGTCCCCTCTGAACCTCAGTGTACTCCTCTGCAAAATGGGGATGAAAATAGTGACTACATCCTACGTGTGCGTGCGCGCGCGCGTGTGTACATTTGCCAGGATTTGAGACCCCGGGTGGAATCCTCGCAGGCGAACTAGTAGGCGAACTAGTCACCGGGCTGCCTCCGCTGCGGGTTCCAGGGACAGGCCTTGGGGCATGGGGGAGGTGCTTGTGAAAAGCACCTGGTCCC